GGCGGGGGGGGGGGGGGGGGGGAAGGAACGAAGCCAACAATAAAAGCAAAAGCAACAACAAATACTGGAGAGTGAAAGATGCGAGTGAGCAGAGCTTCTCACAGCGGCAGGAAGAGGAACTCACCAGCGCAGCAGATGGTTTCAAGTCAGCCACATTTTCTTACTGCATAAACTCCTTACTCCATTTGATAAAAAATGGATTAATTCAAAGGAAGGCATTTTACATATTTAGTCTTTTTAAAGTTGACTCATTAATCATGCATGGTACTGAGTTCCAGTAAATAGTACTTATTTTGAAACATGTCTTAAGATACATATGCTTTGTATAATCGAAACCCAAGCACAAAAATTTGTAAGTCTACAACTGTACCTCATGGTGTTTCACCAATAAAAATTAATAATAATAAAAAAGATGCATATGCTTGAGGCACGGGCCCAGCTGTTTTCTGGAGGGGGACTCCCCTCTGCCTCCCTCCTCTCCCCACGTTCAGGGAGTGGGGGTAAGGTGTTGGGCATACAATACATTACTGGGGTTTATCCCCGCTTCTGAGATGGCATCTGGTGGTGCTCAGGGGACCCTGTACAGGGCTGGGGATCAAATAGATGGACCAGAAGCATGTCAGTTCTTTAAAGAGATGCTGGAGGGGCTGGAGCGATACTACAGCAGGTAGGGCACTTGCCTTGCATGCGGCCGACCCGGGTTCAATTCCCAGCATCCCATATGGTCCCCAGACCACTGCCAGGAGTAATTCCTGAATGCAAAGCCAGGAGTAACTCTGTGCATTGCCGGGTGTGACCCAAAAAGCAAAATAAATAAATAAATAAAAATAAGTAAAGAGATTTTTAAAAAAAGATACATAAGCTTATGTATGGCATCTCACTCAATTTTAAGAAGAGAAAAATATAAAGAGAATAGAGACAGTTCTATTACGATCAGGAGTTTTTTGTCTTTATTTTTAAGATGGGAATGATTCAACAAGAGGGTAAAAATCTGTCTGTGTGTGAGAGAGATTACCTTGAGTCAGGCTAGAGGGATAGTACAGCGGGTAGGGTGTTTGCCTGTACACGGCTAACCCACATTCAGCCCAGGCATCCCATCTGGTGCCCCGAGCACTGCTAGGAGTGATTCCTGAGTGCCACTGGGTGTTACCCAAAAACAAAAGCAAAAAGAGAGAGTTATCTTGACCAAAGAGAAGTAAGGAAAAACCAATAAGGAGAAAGACCAGCCGTAAGCCCAGATTCATCTGTCAGCTGAGAGACAGATGCGGGAGAGAGATTTGGCTTTGCTGTGGAAGGAAGCACAGAGCAGAACCCTTTAGCCAGGGCTCAGGTCTCACCTTTGCAAAGCCCAAGGGAGACTGGACAGACCTGTCTGCAGTGGTAAGGTGATCGATTTCTGTGCATTCAGGCCAGTAGTTATAAACACAAATGAACATTCTTAATAACCACCAATTACCACCATGGGCTGGAGTTATTGCACAGAGGGTAGGGCATTTGTCTTGCACATGGCAGACCCGGGTTCGATTCCTCCTCCCCTCTCGGAGAGCATGGCAAGCTACCAAGAGTATCCTGCCCCACACAGCAGAGCCTGGCAAGCTCCCTGTGGTGTATTCAATATGCCAAAGACAGTAACAACAAGTCTCACAATGGAAACTTTACTGGTGCCCGCTCAAGCAAATCGATGAACAATGGGAGGACAGTGCTACAGTGCTACTGCAATGGAGATATCACATACAGTTCATTCATACTAAAGGAAAGAGTTGACCTAAAACACTTTCATAGGGCTCAACCCCCACTGGTGCTAGGGATCACCCAGACACACGTGGCACTGTGTGGGGTCAGGTTCAAGGCCTCCTGCCTCCTGCCTCTGCCACTTGAGCCACTGCCCAGTCACCCCTGAGTAGTTTCGTACACTCATCAATGAAACTATAGCAAAACCTATCATAACTGTGATCATTTTTTCTACTCTTTCAGAGTGAAACCGAAATTTCCAGATCTGGGGCCAGAGCAATAGCACAGCGGGTAGGGCATTTGCCTTGCATGTGGCCAACCCAAGTTCGATCCCCGACATCACATATGGTCCCCTGAGCACCACCAGGAGTAATTCCTGAGTGCAGAGCCAGGAGTAACCCCTGTGCGTCGCTGGGTGTAACCCAAAAAACAAACAAACAAAAAAAAGAAAGTAATTTCCAGATCTTCAGAAATTTGCCAGTTACCTTCTGATTCAAGAATAGGAGAGGATTAAACAAGATCTGCAAGTTGTTGAGAATGATTTGACACATAATAAGTAGCCAAAAAATCATGTGTGGCAAAGATGACTCCTACAAGGAAAACTCTAAGACTGTTCCTTCTCCTTATATATTTGCTCCTAAATAGCAAAGGTCTCCTTAATATACACCAATATTTTTCTCATTTATATGAGATGTTTTATTCCAATACTTGAGAAAAGATTCTCAGGTTAAGATATCTAAGCTCTTCCTCTAAATGTTGACCATATTGGGGGTGGAGAGGTGATTTAATTTAATAGACTACCAATGTCTTAATAATCGTGAGTTACATGTTTAAGACAATGAATCCAGAATGCATAAACTTGGATATATTTAGCTAGTTAAATGTGGCCAGAGCAAATGTCTAGTCAAGGTTAGAAGGCAAAATATAGACTGAGAAAATTTGTCAACTTGTGGGAGAGAGAAAGATTATCCCTAATGTGCAAAGAGGTTTTATAAAACAGTAAGGAAGAAGACAGATAATTTTTTTAAAATCCAAGTGCATAACTATGAACAGGGCCTGAAAAGAATAAAAATGGTTGGTTGGACTGTTTTCAGGAGGAATCTAAGCGGCTGGTCTGCATTGTTCAGGAGACCAGTAATGCTGGCATTTACAGGTCACAGACACCCCTCACCAGCACTGCGGGCAGGAAGGGAAATTGGCAGAATTTGGTTGCCAGTGAGATATCAAAATTGTAAATACACATATCCTTTGGCCTAGCAATTACACTTCTAGAGATTTGTCCTAAAGAGGAAAAAAATATGGTTGTGGTCAACATGCAAGATTGTCGAAACATTAGTAACGATAGAAAAATCTTCAAAATTCTATAAAGTCAGGAGAAGATACCATTGATATGTTGCTGAATAAAACCAGTACGTTATTCCTTAGTGCCTGCTTACTGACTGTTAAACAGTAACGTGCTGGTCACATTTCTATAGAAACAGACATGCTGTTCTCTGTGTGTGTTAAGCGTCCAAATAGATGTGGAGAAGGATAGTCCCAACAGTAAAACAGTGACATGGTTTTCTCTGGGTGGTGGGCCCCATGGCCTGTCCTGCTTCTGTGACTGGGTTGTGTGGATTATCTGAGTTGTGAGTAGGGGTCACGTGGGTCCTCGCTCCTCGGCCTTTGCTTGTGTCCTCCCGTCTGGTGGACACCACCATGGGTTGGAATCTAAACGGCGTCTCTGCTCAGTCTGCCTGTCTCTCCGTTCTCTGCTGTGTTCACACTTTCATCTTTCTCTTTGTTCTCATTGTCCCCAATAGAAAACAATCCCCTCAAGGAAGTGTTTGTGCTCAGCCCTAATCCTGGTGCTGGGCACAGTGCCAGGGAGCTTCCAGCACCGAAATCAGCAGATAAGAAGAAAGTGTGTGTGTGTGTGTGAGTGTGTGTGTGTGTGTGTGTGTGTGTACTCACATCTGTGTACCAGGCACGCCGGCACCTGTGCTCTGATTCAGAGACCAGATCAGAGAGAACATCTGAATCTTGTGCTCAGGGTGATTTCTATGTTGCATTGGAGGGCTGCTGAGTCGGGGGGTGGGGCGGCAGGGGGTGGGGGGTGGAGGGAACTCCCATGAGGTGCTCCGCCAATTCCCAGCCAGCAAGGCTAGTAGCTCCCTGCTAAGGCCTGAGGGTGCACTTGCTCAGACCTAGGCCTTCCCTGGGGGGCGGAGGGGTGGGGGAGGACCCTAGCAGAGTCTGGCCTGCACAGCAGGGGTTTTAATGCAGCCCTGAGAGAAATCACCTCTCATTGGGGAGCGGGAGGAGGAGCACCTCAGGGGTCTCTCTACAAAACCCTATATCATTTTTTAAAAATGTATTAAATGTTTTGTTTCTAAACTACTGAAAACTCATTGCCACATTTTGTAACCAGTTCCATAGAAATCCAAGAAAGAACACACTGAAATTCCTAAGTGGCAGAAACTGGAGTTCCCTTCTCTAGGATTTCCTTGGCCTCATGGAGTGAGAGAGAGATATCAGCTGATCCAGGGAAGGGAAAGGCAGCCCCCAACACACACTCACTCACATACTCACACACATTCACACACTTTCACACACACACTTTCACACACTCACACAAATACTCATACATACTCTCTCACACACACATACACACATTCACACACATACACATTCTCTCTCACACACATTCACACACACTCACACACTCTCACACACACTCACACATACACTCTCACACACATACACACATTCACACATACATACACACACTCACACATTCATTCACACACATCATATTCACACACTCACACACATTCTCATACACATACTTTCACACATGTACTCATCACATACACTCTTACATGCATGCATTCTCACACTCACACATACTCACACATCACATACTCACGTTCATTCACACACACATTCACACACAGTCACATGCACTTATTCACACACTCACACTCGTTTACATATTCACATATGCTCACATTCATTCACACACTCACACATACACTCATTCACGCTCACATACACTCTCTCAAATACATTCACACACTCACACACACTCTCACAATCACATTTATTCGCACTCACACACTTACACGCTCGTTACATACACTCACACATTCACACACACACTCATGTACTCTCAAACACACTCGTGCACACTCACATACACTCACTCTCACACGCGCGCACACACGCCCCCACTGACCTGGGTTCTAGGGGGTGGTGTGTGACCGTCCGTGTCAGACGGGCTGGCTTACCTGCTGGCTTCTCAGCGGCTGCACCACGTGGCTGACGCACAGCTCTAGGTCCCTGACATAGTCCTGCTCCGTCTGAATCAGCTCCGTGATGACCTTGGCCCGCTTCGCCATCATCCGCTGCATCTGCTGCTCCTCATCCCGAGCCGGAGTCCCCGCCGCACAGCAGCTGGCCTGCGGAGTCATCTTCTCTGGGAACAGAGGTACATGTGTCAGGCTCTCCCCAGCACAGAGCCCGCTTGGCCCGTCATCAGGGGAGAGGGTGAGGGATCCTCACAGTGTGCTCGGAACAAGTGATGTGGAGAGAGGGTCTGCCCCTCAAGCCCCGGCACTGCTGGGAGTGATTCCTGACTGCAGAGCGGGGTAACCCCCGAGCATCACAGGGCATGGCCCCAACCCCCCCCACACACACACCCCTCACACCACCAAGAGGTTTTTTTTTTTTAACTTGGTTTTGGGTTCATTCCTGAGGTTCTCAGGTCTCACTCTTGGCTCTGCACTCAGGGATCACCCAGCAGTGCTCAGGGGACCATGCTGCATGCCAGGAAGTGAACCAAATGGGCCGTGTGCAAGACCAGTGCCTACCTGTGGACTGACTCTCTGGCCCTAGGAGATTAGAATTTTAGCAAACAGTGAGCAAGAAGAGAGAATGGGTACTTCTTTTTTTTTTTCTTTTATTTTTTGCTTTTTGGGTCACACCCAGCGATACTCAGGGGTTACTCCTGGCTCTAGACTCAGAAATTACTCCTAGCGGTGCTCGGGGGACCATATGGGATGTCGGGAATCAAACCCGGGTTGGCCGCATGCAAGGCAAAAGCCCTACCTGCTGTGCTATCACTCTAGCCCCAGAATGGATACTTCTAACAAGTCAGTTCAGTCAGACTAAATGTTATGGATGACTCCAAATTGTCCTATTGAGGGGGCCAGAGCCATAGTGCAGCTGGTTGGGCACTTGTTTGCACAGCATTAACTGGTTTCAATCCCCAGAGCCCCATGTGGTCCCATATCTCCACCAGGAGTGAGCACCACCAGATGCAGCCCCCAAACAGTCCCACTGACACAATATTACTTTATAAACTTAGTCTTTGGGTCGAGGTGGTTTTTTTTTTTTAATGCAAAAACATAGTTTAGAACTAACTTCTTTTTTCCAGCTCAGAGGACTGTAGGTGATAGAAATGGACTCTGTTCGGCTGTGCGCAAAGCAGGAGCCTTATTCTGAACTTCGACCCCCCCCCCCCCCCCCGGAGATCTTGAAATCCATTTTTATTGCAGTACTGGGATTTATAATGCTGTTAATCATACTTCTCACCATCCATCATTCCAACTCCACCCCCATCCCAAGAGCTTGCCAAAGAGAACTTTTTCTTCAGTAAGTGGTACATTTTCCACCTGTTTTCCCTATGGTTAAAAATCACTGTATTCCCATTCTCAGCCATGCTGGGCCAGTTTCAGTGCAATGGATCCCGGGCTGGAATTCTCCTTCCAATTCTCAGCCAGAATCTGAGGAGGCTGCAGTGGTGACTGAACTGAGCCAGCTCAGATATGCACACAGTCATACTCAGAATTCCTACACTACCCATAGAAAGTTTCACTAGGAAATCAGTGTGAGTCTTGGTGAGAAAGCACATCCTCGCATGGGTGAGACCCCAGGGTCTCCTCTGACATTAAAGGGCCCCTGAGCACTGCCAGGTCCAGTCCTGAAGGGCCTCAGCACTGACAGCCCAAGCACTAGAGTCCCTAGACCCAGGATGTGAGGGTGAGTCTCACCAGGAGTGACCCCGGGTCCCCCAGCACTATGGGGAAACTATAACACAAAACAAACAACCACAGAAATGTCTGTGCTGAGAAATGTTGACATCGTGGGAAGGTTCACACATATACTTTAGATATTTTCTATAAAAAGGGCTGGGAAACCTAAGAGTCTGCTAACCTAAGCTTTCCTGGCCATGACTTCAGAAATCTCAAACTAGACTATAGACCATGATTCAAGGAGTCAGAGACATCGGGCTGTGTGTCTGCATGTGTGCATGTGTGTTTATGTGTGTGCGCGCACACGCACACACATACAAACACACACACACGCAGTGCACAGAGCTATAGAAATGGGTCTGCTTCCAACCTGAAGCCACAAGCTTAGTTTTTATTTCAGTCTGCACTTATAGAAATAATTCAAAGCACTGAGAGAAATAATTTCAATAAGTCAAAGAAATGATTCCAATATTCCATTGAAAGCTACTTGACGTAATTACTCAAACCATCTTTGATCCTGATGCCACTCCCAATCATGTAGAACTTATCAAAAAGTCCATGCCGGGATCCAGAGGGAGAGTGTGGTGGGCAGGGCGTTTCCCCGCACTCAGCTGGCCTGATTTCAATGCTCGGCAACCCCATCTGGTCTCCGGAGTCTGCCAGGAATGACTCCTGAGCACAGAGCCTGGAGTAGGCACCGGGTGGGGCCCTAAAACCAAACCAAAACAAACAAAAAGGCAAGAGCGGGGCCACACTGAGGAGATGGAAGGAAAGAGAGAGAAAGCTGGAGTCACTCAAGGAGGGCAGGGAGGAGGGGGTCATCCTGACCATGTCCAGATGCCAGAGCGGGAGTCCAGGGCCTAGCGTCCTGGCTCCCGGGCACTCATTTCAGGGGTGCGGGGAGCTTCAGGGACCTCTTGTCCACAGAGGACCCTGGGATGGGGCACTGTGCTCCGGGTGACTGCTGGAGAGAGAAGATGGAGTGGGCCCAAGCGTGTGTCAGCACTGGGACAGGCAGGACCAGAGCCAGCGGTCTCCACAGGCTCTAGGGAAACACGGTACCAGGAGTGTGAGAGAGCAGATGTGAATTCTGGAATCCTGAATTCTGTAGCTGATGGGAGCACTCAGAGCCTTGTGAATTTATCAAGGTTTTTTCCTCAAGTCGAAAACAAAAATCTGCCTCAGTATTCCAAGTCTGAAAGGAGAAGTGACCGCAGGCTGCGTTCTGACAGGAACACTTGGCGAGCGGAAGAGAAAAGAGAGATGGGGCACCCCGAGAGGAGGCATGGGGGTTGGGGGCAACCCCGGGACCTTCCTGGGTCTCCTGGCTTCCTTCTGAGATGGAGCCAGGGCTGGGGGAAAGCAAACGAGAACTTTATAAATGAGTATTTTCCAGTGGTTTGCAGAGTGGGAGGGATGGGTGTCCAGAGAGACCTCTAAACTGATACAGATAGTATCCACTAGTGCTTGGCATTCTGCTGAAGATGCTGATGGAAACAGCCCTCAAGTCTTTCCTCCCCCTTCTAAACCTCCTCAAAGCTTTGTGCCTTATGCGAACACACACTGGTCCCTGGAAGGAGCCAAGAAAGGGGTGGAGGAGCTTGCTTGATCTCTAGCAAAGAAATATCCCGAGGATTATAGTCTCCATTCCTTTCCTTTCTAAATTCCAGAACTCAATTCCTGTGTAATTTAATTCATCTTGCAGATTGTCCAGAATCTGTACTTGAAAATGCCCAGCAGTAGATTCTGTCAGTTCAGCACTGCTTTGTGTTCTAAAACATCATTAATTTGCTCAGAACGAGTTTTAGGGACCAAAATGGTTGAAACAAAGTGTTAGTTAAGATACTCCACCTCAGAAACTTCCCTCAGTTCTCAAGCCTTTTCAGAGGACTCTGCAATTGAGCAACCGTTGGAGATATCTGTGTTTGCTTTCTTGACTCAAGTTTATTGCAGAAACAAAGACCCGACTTGCATCATTTTATGGTCAGACTTCTAAACACTTTCTATGTTTGCATTTCTCAAACGGACCAACTCCACAATGCACTGTGGGCACAAGTTCTGTTTTTATAAGATCCTTTCTATTTTGTAAAAACTTTCCCCCTTTTAGTTATACTTTGTTTTTACATATAAAGTTCTTCACCACACATGAATATTACCAACATTTATCACCAAGTCAGCAGTCAGCTAGAATAATCTTTTATTCCTACACAAAGCAACAGAAAAGCTAAGTATTCAGAAATGAAAGCAAACGAGAACTTTATAAATGAGTATTTTCCAGTGGTTTGCACAAACTAAAGTACTCTTGGGACTAAAGTTATGAGGACACAAGGAGGGGGTTAAAGGGGGGGAAATGTGCCAGGCAATATTCCAGCAGGTAGGACACCTGTCTTGCATGCAGCCCACCTGGGTTTGATCCCTGGGACCCCATATGTTCCCCCAAGCCCACTAGGAGTAATTTCTGAGCACACAACTAGGAGTACACCCTGAGCATTTCTGGATGTGGCCCAGTATCATCCCCAACACACACACACACACACACACACACACACACACACACACACACACACACCCTGAAAACTAAAGTAGAGCTGAAGTTAAAGAGCTATTTGGGTGGGCTTGCCACAGTATGCTGTCATATATGATGAGTCCCTTGTAACTCACTTGCCAGCCCATCTTCTATTTATTTTGCTCACATTTTGTTTTTCCTGAGTCATAATAGTAAAAGTCTTCACTGTTGGAGACACACGCTTCTTTGATAGCAAATCTGAGAATTCCAGGTTCTCTGTGGGAAGGTTGCTGAGCTTTGGCAAACAGATCCATAACTCCAGCTCGCTATCCTGAGCAATGAAACGTGGTGGATGAGTTAGTTGAGACAGAACCAAATGCCAGAGGCAAACAAGACCCTCAGTAAACATGACTCTGTTGGAACTAGGAATAGAAGCCACTAGAACGCAACGCAGCAGTTCAGACCAAGCTGCCCCTCATGTCCCCATTGATTAGAGAAACCAGGAAAGACGGGGGAAGCCTCAGGGTCAGGAGTCATGCTTGAAAGTTCCAGCTCTGGGCTGCTGCCTCTGCCTGCGTGTGTAGGCAAAAGAGAGGGGTGCAACCCCCCCAAAACACCTCAGGTAGAAAGATGGGCGCCGGGCTGGGCAGGCAGGCAGCCCCCAGCGCCGGCGACAACCACATCAGCCATGACAAAGGGACGGTGCAGAAGGGACTAGAAATAAATAAAATCTGAAATGGATTTGACTTGGGTTTGGAGTAATCAAAGCGGACCTGCTCTTCTTAAAAGGCTGTAAGAGAGTTTTGAAGCCGACACATAAAGGAAAGCTGATGGCAGTGAGGAGTTTGAGTATCGAGTAAAGAGCATAAGTGAATTCATCTTTGTTCCAGGTATGACTGTGGTGGGGAATGACCTTCATAGTTAATTACATCCCTG